CCTGAGCGGTGAACTCATTTTCGGCAGCCGAAATTTCGGTGCATCTCTAATTATTGGCGACATCAGAAATGGCTATTATATAATAGATGCTTTTTTTTTTACATTTTAGCAATTTAAAAATATTAAAAAAGGATTTTTTTACACGGCACCCCTGCTCTCAACAGAGGGCACCCCGGTTGGGAAACACTGGCCTAGAAGAAGAAATTATGTGCAGAAATGTTTAGATAAGTGATGTTAATAATTAAATCTGGTCTTGTTCTATTCAAAAAGCATTTAATCATAATCACAGCAAAAATGCAGTGTTTAATGTTGACAAAGGGGACAACATTGAAATAAGAAACATGGACACTCCTACAAATGAAGGGTCCAAAAGGAGACTGCCATAGAAATGAAAAAAATATATAAAAATTTTTGGGTTCCCCAAAGAACCTTTCTGTGAATTATTCTTAAAAGAATCATTTTTTTTTCTTAGTGTAAGTAACATTTTAAGAATCCTTTTCCACTATAAAGAACATTTTGTGCAATGGAAAGGTTCTATGGATGTTGGAAGGTTCTTCATGGAACCATAGAAGAACTTTTATTTTTAAGAGTATGGCCAATATAAACACAAGTTTTTAAATACAGATATGCCAAATATCTTCTTTTATATCTTGAATCAGAAACTCATCTGAAGTTGGATAAATGCATAATGTTGACATATGCATATTGAGCTCTTTTCCTCTAGATACACCAGCACAGGTTGTGTCTGAGTTCTGAACAAATATTTTTGAATGGCATAAAAACCCTTCTCACATCTCAAAGAACATTATCAAAAAATAAATCACATTTCTGTGAACATCTTGTGTGTATAGGTGAGGGTGACTGAGAGTTGAAGCAAAGTTTGAGAGAAGGCAGGGAGACTGAGTTCATTTCAGGATGCTACTAACAATGACAATAATTATGTGGGATGAAATAACAGGACGTGCGAAAGTATGCGGAAGATAGAAAGGATATGATGTAACCAGGGAGTCTCCATTATGAAATGAGGAGAGAAGAGATTATGGTAAGTAGGTTAGTAGAACAGCGGAAATGCACAGAAGCTGACAGAAAGCTTTTTTCACTCCCTCCTGCATGGCCACTCCTTCTTCTCAGCCTCTGCTTTGTTTCGTTCTAATCTCTCTTAACTCTCTTTTTCTAGACTTATGTTTATGCCCCTTTATTTTGAATGGCACTGTTGTCCCTATCACCATGAACTATTTTGATTCCCTCAGACTTTATCTTTATATATTTTGTCTCGTTTCACCTTTTTTACGCTTTGTTCTCTGTTTTAGAGAACGGGGGAAAATCAGCCTTTGCAACAATGTTTGTGCAGCGTTGTCAAAACAGACCTCCTTGGGGTAAATATATGAACGTTTACGATCCAGAAGCATTGCTTCCCTTTTCATTATTCTTCTGTTTAGATGTATCTTCCTGTTTCAGAGTTTGTTCCTCACCTTCCTGCAGTCTTGAATTGCATATTTTCATTCAAAAGCAGCCCCTTTTCTGTCTTTTTTCTCTATGTGACACACACACACACACACACACAATCACTGACCTCCTGACCATCTGTCTTATATAACCACAGTCTCTTAAATTAGAGCTTGCTCGCTCAGAGAATAGAGCAAAACAGGAGGGAGGCCGCCAGTATGGAGGCACACGGAGAGACAGTGAATGAAGCATCGTTTATATTAAATGTCTGCTAGAAAACATGACAAGAAAGTTATCGTAAAGTGAGATTAGAAGTGCATTATGATCTAATGGTGAATGCATTTCAGGTGGAGTAACAGAGTGGATGAGGTTATGGAGGAATATATTAAACAATCAGTGCTAGTGTGTTTGGCAGTTGATAAAATGTTGGTTTTCAGAAGGGACTATTGTGAATCCAGCTCTCATCAGCGTAATCCCCTCAGCACTCCTCTTCGTTATCTGTTTAATCCGCTGACTCCTCTCCTCTTTCACAGGCTGGATAATCCCTCTCTTTCTCTGCGCGAGGGTGTAATCCAGTTTTACCCTGCCCATCCTCTCCACCATCTTTCTCTTATCCTTTCATCTTCTGTTTCTTTCTCCTCTCCTCCCTTCTGCAGCTCCCCTAATCTTCACCCAGGCTAAAAAATACCCCTTTAAAATCCCTATTACTTCAATTACATTATATAAACTACATTATATTGTACTATAGGAAAGAATGTTCCTAAATGAATCCTTCGGTCCTAGGAGACTTTCAGAATTGTAGTCAGTGTTTATTCCAAACCGTCGTCTCGGGCCTGTTAAAATTTCCTTCGCATACTGTTGCTCATGGTTTCCATGGTCTGCCTCGTCCCAGATGGCTGGAATTGCGTCGTCTGTACGTTTTTTGTTTTGTTTTGTTTAGCAACTAAACACATAAAGCCATGAGTCTCTGTTGACTCTAATTATCAAGAATATTACAAAGAGATGATTAGCTCATTGCTCATCCTCCATATACAATGGATCATTTGGATCATTTTCATACTTTTCTTGAGTGTCTCAAATGAAACTAATGAGCAACAGCATATAATCATCTTAATCTCAGGCTGTTCCTGCAGGGCATCCTCAGTATCATTAAAAAATGTCAGATGACGCTACTTGAAAATAAATTAGTGACTTGCATGCCAGTGTTGTGCGGATTACGGTTCTGGACCAAATAAACATATATTACTCATGCAAGTAAACACAAGCTGCCCAAATGATTTCTTAAGGGACAGACAGTCACAGATGGCATGCTTGCCAGTGGATATACAATACGTCAACGGCTATAACGTCACCATGAAACAACAAAATTAAGTTAAAAGATGGTGAAGAAAATCTTCTGTATAAAATTGTATATATATAATGGTATAAAAAATGGTGCAGTTTATGAATTGTATAAACAAATTATACAATGACTCACAGGGGTCAAATATATAGTTTAGGATAACTTTTATTCAGCAAGGATGCACCAACTCAGCAAAAGTAAAATTATTTTTAATGTTATAAATAGGGATGCACCGATACCGATACTGGTATCGGTATCGGGCCCGATACTGGTCTCCTGTACTCGTACTCGTACTCGTTAAAATGCCCCGATACCAAACGCCGATACCACAGCATGTGATAAGTGCCATATTCAGACAAAGAAACACCAACAACAGAACAACAGACAGCGGAAAGGAGTTAAGGATGTCTGCTACGAAGTATATGTATGCTTCTGAAGGATCATGTGACACTGAAGACTGGAGTAATGGCTGCTCAAATTTCAGCTTTACCATCACAGGAATAGATTACATTTTAAAACATTAAAATAGCAAACAATTTGCAATAATATTTTACAATATCACTATTTTTACTGTATTTTTGATCAAATAAATGCAGCCTTGCAGAGCATATGAGACTTCCTTCAAAATACTTTTTTTTGTAAAAATCTTACTGACCCCAAACTTTTGAATTGTATGTATATTGTTTTAGAAAAAAATCAATAATCAAAATCACCCTCCTTCACACTTATTCTTCTGTCTAATGGTACCACATCTCTTCTCCTGTTCTTTTCCTGTGTTTCTAACAAACACTCAGGTCTATCTCAGATACCAAGTTACTTCCTCCAGCAAGTTAATAGACCTGTTGTCTATAGCTCTCGTGACAGCTGATAACTTTTATCACCTGCTATCTGACATGTAAAAAAAAAAATGCTGTTGTTATAGCAGTTCCCGAAAATGCTGCACGAAAAAGTCATGAAATCATCAGTGTTATCAAGAGATTGACACACAGATGCTACTAAACCTGGCTGTTTACCCAGAAAGTCACACCCTCAATATGAAGTTTATCTTTGCTTTTCTATGAACAATGCCAATTGAACAAAGGGCAAATATAATGCTGACAAATACACGTACTCACATGTCATGAAAATGCAGTGAAATTTCAAATAAACAACCTTTCAGAAGTGA